TAAGTTATCATGATTCGCATTAAATAAAAAAGGTGGGATGCCAAATGATAATGCCTTATACTGTTATACTAATTATAAATTAATAATACCATCACCTATGCGAACCTCACAAATCTCAAGTTCATCAAGTTTATTGATAAAAATTGAAAACTCATYACATATTATGTACTAATGTACTGTTCTAGTACGAGTATCTATTATATAAATCGAATTATATCTATTTATTTATTTTAATTATTATATCTTCTTAGGCTAGYCGTTCTTCTGGACAATGTGTTGAATWTTATAATAATATTTAATAATTCTTACAAAAATACAAATGTTATATTTGAATCGATAAGACTTGGATTTCAAATACCAGGTTCATAATTATGTGTGTTATTTTCATTAGCAGTATACAACACATTGATGGCGGATATCAATTGATTATTGCATCAAACCGAGATGAATATTATAATCGTCAGACATTGCCAGCAAACTATTGGTCAGAGAACCCAGACATCATTGGAGGTAAAAAAATATCATAGTAATATTWTTGTAAATAATTATAATTTGAGTTTTAAWTGGCAGGACGTGATTTAATGTTATCAAATGAGGGTGGCACTTGGTTGGCTCTAAACATCCGTGGTACGTTGGCCGCTCTATTAAATGTGTTTGAATTGGATAAAGTACCAAATGCTAAATCCAGAGGCCAACTGGTTAAAAATTTTGTGAAATACAATTCTTCAGCCCTAGAATATTTGCAAGAATTGCAAGGATCGCAAGACATGTATAATGGATTTAAACTGATTACCATTACCATGAGGCAAGAGGTTAMMGTAAATAATTTGAAATAGTAATTTATTATAATATTATGTTTGTTTATTTTACCTGTGTTTGAAGCAAGTCATCTTTAGAAACATATTTCTATACCAATTTTGTACAAGATGGGGGACCACAAATGAAACGCCTRCAAAATGGTGTACAAGGATTTGGAAATGGACCTTTTTTAAAAGTAGAAGCGGGTGAGAAACGTTTTAAAGACATTGTAAAGAAATATGGACATAGTCTTAATAAAGATACATTAATCGCTGAACTGCTAGGACTTTTGAAATGGGATAAGCTGTAAGAAAAACTAAAAGTTAACAAGAAATCAAAACTAAATTTATACCTTTTATAGACATTATCCTGATGAAGAGTTGATCAAACGGACACCAAAATTYCCTGGAACCGATGACCAGAAGAAATTTAGTTCCATTTTTGTAGAAATGCCAACTCGTCAATAYGGTACTAGGTAAATTGTTGTAATTATATAATTTAATTATAGTATAAGACTTTTAATTAAAAAMGCATTTTATTTTAGAACTCACACAATAATACTAATAGACTATGATGGAAAAGTAGAATATAATGAATGGACTAAGTCTGGTTCTATTTGGAATTATCAATGTTATATGACTGAACTAAAATGTGAAATATAAAATATGTACTGAATATGTAGTATGTACTATATTGTGTTACTTTACATGTTCTTTAGAATAAATAAAAAATATAAGTAATTTTTAGTTTAARATRTTATTGAATATAAATACATAATWTACTATTAAAGAGGGGCTAATTGGAAGGTATGAGGCTCCAAATTCTATAATGCTAAACTAATAGTAATGACCAGGATTCATAACTTATAGTTATAAAAAAGGTWATCAGCCCAATAATATGCTTTTAAAATCATTTATATAAGTATTTAAACATGCGTTTAAAATATTAAAATATGGATAAAATAAATTGAATAATATTCCATCAGAATTATTTATTATTATGTTGTGACTTGTGGTACTGCAATGTTTTAAAGGATACRGTACTGAAATGGACACTAAAAAGCAAAATAGTTTTTAATTCTTGAAATATGCTACAGTATGGACATAAAATTTTGTAAGTAACTATATTAGTTTATGAGTATGCAAAAAAAAAATTATTTTTAAGTCAGAAAATATTTTTATAATATTATGTTAGTTTATTTGGTGGTGGTATTCAAATATTTTGAAGACAGTACTGAAATAGACCAAAATAGCTTCCAAATGCGCAACATAAAATTCCTTATTTAGTTTTCTGAAAAAAATGTATAACTCAAAGGCATTTTAGGACCTAAAAAAAAATTATATATTATTTCCTTGTATAATATAAAATATTAGTATAGCCATTGCCATTTCATTATTTAATATTTATATTCCTAAATATGATGTGCTGCAGAATCAATAAAATAAATACATATATTTTTTTTTATWTAATATGTGATAAAATTATTTAGTACCTAGTATAAAGCAGTAAAAGAATAATAGTCTTTTCAATTGTATATGATAATGTAAATCTACCGCAGGCTAATGATCTTGTTGTTGAAGCCTTATTATCAATAAAAAATAAAAAAAATTAAAAATCACATGAGTGAAGGTTATATCACAATAAATTATTGAAAATAATGTGTAGTTGGTAAATTAAATATTATTCATAGTGTTTACAATAAAATTAGTGTTTTTTAATAATTTAAAAAAAWTCATTTAAACTTTATTCATAAATGATATCTTAACAATGTTGAATATTGAGCTTAGGCTTATTATAATATTACAATGTTTAAATTTAAATTTAAAAGATTTGATTACAAATAATTCAATTATAGTTATAAACCTATTGTATTTAAATAATTTGYAGTAATGCTATAAAAAATATGATATTGGCTATACATTTTAGTTTTGAATACAAAGGGTTTGGTGAAATATAAATAAATATATGTAAAAACAAAGTGCTTATTAAATTAAATACTATTTATACCATTTTTATCTGCTTGTTCCAAAAGTGCTTGCAAATTAGTATCAAACAATTCACATCTAATAGGCATTTCTAAGGAATAAAATGGATTCTTTAGAGCAAAGTCGGCGTATATCTCATAAATTTTTTTTAAAAGTTGTTCAAGRCCTACGTGTGTTGGATCAGCAATTACCATAAATTTCACTCCTAAAATATACAATTTTTAGTTTACCAATGAAGTTTATTAATTTAGATAATTGTATTCAATACCAGTCAGAGTTTGAAAACATTGTAGTTTAAATGTATCAGCTTCTAAAGTTTCAATTCCAGAACTCCTGGGTTCTGGACTCAATTGTGATGCAATAGCAAATAATGGATAAAACATGCTGGCTAAGAATATCTTTTCATTGATAGTCATTTTTGGCCGACCAAATTTTAAATTAAGTGGGTAATTAGTAGCATCATCTAACATCTCTATTGCATCTTTGCCATCTTCTAGTTTTCTACCAGAAACAGGAACTCCGTTGATTGCTAATAATACATGACCAACTGAAAATACAAAAACACATGTTAATCTGAAACGTCTTGAACAGTTCATATTGATTTTTGAATATTTATTTAATTTTATAAATATAWGTTAACATGATATTTTAATAATCTTTGATAAGCACAGTACCTTTGATGTTGTCTCGTTGACCAAATGAAACTAATAGTCTGTTGTTTTCACAAGTTAGTTTTAGATCTAGTGGATAACCAAATGTCTGTTCGGTTTCGATTTTGGGCACATTGTAATCGTAGTTGAATATTAGCCCCCCTGATTTTGATACAATGTACACACCATAGATTCCCATTGTTATGTGACAGTTATCTGTTCAAAATATATTCTTCATTTCATTGTGTTAATTTTAATAAATACACCTTTTATTTAGAATTAACACTATAATATAAGAATAGACAATTATTATGGAATGTACCAACTACCAAAGAGCAAAAAATGAAGAAATTGAATGGATTAAGATAAAATATMCATAGTATAGTAATAATAATTAATATTAAATTTTAATTTAAGAAAATGTATTGTAAAGGAACCCAATTTAAATTTTTAATCAATTTGTAGTGTTCACTGTTCGTCCTCACAGAATACAGATTAGGTGTCATGTCACTCATATTGTGAATATTGTGATATGATAATACATATGGTCTTCGTTCCCTACAGCAAGCTCAGCTGATACCAATAACAGTTGATAACACTAGACATACTCTAAGATCATAAATCATATCATATTATTTTATTTTCATACCACTCCGCTCCGCTCCAATATCCCATTGAAGGTTGAACTTTACTGTGTGACGTCGGAACAGCCCAAACAGGTGGTGGGTAACGATTGGACTGCCTTATTTTCTAACTTTAAGCCATGATTTAACGATCTTAATAACCGACAACCACCGTGTTTCTAGTGGTAATAGGCAKAGGCGTAGGTGCATAGCTAAGGGAGCTAAAGGCTCCCCCATTGTGTTAATTTTTGCTTATATTAAACAAATTATTTCACAAAAACCTTATAGCCCCCTCCCTCAATGCAAAATTCTTGACTATGCCACTGCATATTATACCTATGACAACCATGGTTTATATGCACTTTTACTCATCCACGTGATTCTTTTTTCCATTTAACACTGTCTAAATTTGGTGAAATAAAGATCATGTGCTCTTTCTTGATACTTAACAAACACTTCAATGTAGATATAGAATCTTCATAAGTCTGCTGGATTTCATTGCTTCCACCAAGAATTTTCAATGACATTGTACAATTTTCATAAAAATGACAACAGTTTTGTTGAGTTTTTC